GGGGGACCAGCAGGGGGTGGCTGAAGAGACAGCTAGATACCCTCCATCCCCATCCACACCCAGCCCTGAGTGCCCCATCTCACCCGGAGTCGGCCCCGCTCCTCCTCGCTGAGCTGCCGCTGTGACAGGGACAAGGTACCATCCTGCTGGTTCCAAAGCAGCGAGCCCCGCTTCCGGAAGTTGGCACTGTCATCTGTGAGGAGCTCAGGCTCAGAGACGCCCCCTACCACACCCCCGCCCATCCTTCAACTCAGGCAGGGGCCAGGAGGTCCAGCTTCAAATTTTGGCCTGCCTCCACCCGAGTGACCAGGTTCCCTCCCCATCTTGGCCCCCATTTTCCTATCTACAAAGTGGGGACACCTCCACCATGTTCTACCTCACAAGGCAACCCATAGCAGATGCATGAACCCCACAGCTCCCAAATCCTGCCTCTGCCTCACCAGGTGACCCAGGGACAGCCATATAACCTCCCTGAGCCTCACCTTCCCCAACTGCAAAATACGGACGCTGTGGAGTTCAGGAATTCTCAACTACCTGGCTCTGTCAGAAGCAGGGGAGCTGTTCACTGAGCAGATGCCAGGGTCTGCAGAGGGGCACCAGCTTCAGGGTTTGTGCCCTCAGGTTCGGGGCTTCAGACTCGATTACTACACTCTGGGCAGCACTGACGTCCAGCTCTGGGAACCTGGACGCCTGCGTCATGGCAATTTAAGCTTGGCTTTGAAGCTGGCTCCTGCTCTGCCACTCACTCACGATGAGACCTTGTGTGGTGCCTACTCTGAACCCATTTCCTCTTCTGGAAAAGGAGGCTGACACGAATACCTACCACCTCACATGGCTGCTGTGAGGACATGTGAGTTAATACTTGCAAAGGGTTCAACCACTAATGCTGGGCACGTGGCAACTGATCGGGAAAGTCGGCTCTGACATTATTATTGCCGCGCTGACCTTTCAAAAACTGAGATTTGTCTTACAGGCAAGGGGACATTTAAAGACAGTGTTTCTCTTTTTTCATGTCCCCCTTTCCCCCAACCTGGAGCAAATCTGTTAGTAAACAGATGTTAGTAAATGTCATATGACGGGAGGCACCCGGACTCCAAGTCTTGACTTCTCAGGGCACCAATGTTAAGAGAGGACGTTGCCTGACTCACCGATCTCAAATGAGTGCTCCAGCAGCAGCCCCACTGTGCCGCAGGCCTCGCCCTCTCGGCCTTCCGCCCCAGCCTGCACAGGACACAGAAGGCCCCAGGTGAGAACCATCCAAGCCCTCAGCATGGCAGTCACCCATAAAGCCCAGGACAGACAGACTGGGGTGGGCTGAAGGAGGAGCCTTATCTTCAGGTTAATCACTGCTGCTTGCCTCTATTTCACTCGAAACCACCCATTTCATGAATATTCATAATCTGGACTCCCTCACCCCCAGAAAACCAGACCCTACAAACATGCCTAACCTCATTGCCAAAGCAACTATCCCAAGGTCAATTCCAAGCCTTGTACCACAAATACTCATGAATTAAATGACACCCTCCCTCTCCCAAGGCTTCTTTTTCATGCTAGTATCCAAATGGCCTCCTTATCACCTGACAGCCCAAGAGCCAAGATGCAGCCTGAGTTCAGTCCCTATTAAGCATATTCAAGATTCATGCTTTCCTTTTCTCCAATCTCCAAACCTGCATATTC